CCTAACCTCTCAGCTACCAGCTGAATGCTTAACTCTTGTTCCACCAGGGCTGTTGTCATTAGTCCTAGAGGCGATAGATCGAAGGTAATGGGAGGAAATGGCATGTAGGTCCGGTCACCAGATGACTGTAAAGCGTATGTACTGCACATCTCCCAGGGTAGTATTTTACCTCTAACTCTTTTCTTTCTCTTCTGATTCTAAATTTGAGAGGGGAAGCAGCCAACGTCTACAGAGAAGGGAGAAGATTCTTCCCTCTTCTCAGACTCATCTGGTGAAGAATACTGTGCACATGATTAGAGATGGACAACTAACTTAACAGCCCTCTTAATAATTTTGCCATCTATCATTAGCAGTGCTTCTGTGTTGAAACAGCATAAATAAGCAATTACAATGGACTTCAGAGAAAACTCTTGGTTGTCAGGAAGTTAAGATTGTGAAATATTTGTTAGTTAACCTTATTTATTGTCCACTTTGTCCAAGGGTTTTGAAGAATACCTTAGTTCATCTCCTCAAACTATCTCCTAGCTATCCGGCATATTTTAAGCACCTCCTTCCCTTTAGAAAAATTAAACTGTGGATAGTGGTCAAAAGCCAATTCAGTAATGGACCACAATTAAACTAATAAAGGAGTATGACGGGGAGTGTAGTGTTTGCATTAGGAATAAGTATTATTTTATGAAATATGTGTTTATGTTGTGTTGTGATGTAAAATGTCTTTCTTATTGTGGGATGTGAACAAGAGAGTTTGAATGACCTACTTACTGGCCTCTATCTCCAGAAAATAATAAAACATTTTGCTCCTGTGGACAGGACCTTTAGGCACAGCAAAAATAGCTATATTTATTTTACTCTTAATTTTATGAAACATTTTAACAGAATTGAAAGAATTAGGTGGTCCTAAGTAGAGTCATAATGTGTAGCATCTCTATCTCCTGGAAATTGTATAGAATTAATTTCCCCCAAAATCAAGGTAGTTTGCATGTCACTGAGTGGATTTTAACTTTTCATGATGAGAACAAAGGTTTAACTGCAAGGGTGCTCAGCATTATTACAAACATAGTAAGTATCATTATGCTCATGACAGTGACAAATAAAACATAATTTCCCATACATGTGAATACTTTTCAGTCATTTAGAAATAATGTACTATTGAGTATAATTCAAAAGGAAAGGTTTTCATTTTATTGTAGTTGTAAAAGGGAGTCAATCATATGCTGTGATTTATAAAAATGAGTATGCATAGTACATAGATATGGACACAGACATACAAAAACATGAGAAAAGAATGGAAAACTACTTGAAGATAAGTCCAAGTATTGTGAATAGGGTTAACGTCCATACACGCATGCATTTATTGCAAACAACATGTGTTCAAACATGTCTGTGCAATTTGTGGATGGCTGCAGATTACCTCTCTCAATAATACATGCAGTCTCGGGGTCCTTTCAAAAAGAAAGTCCAAACAAAACACTAATTTCTGAAGGGGTCTCTCAAATCAATAAAATTCGAGGCAGAGAGGTTAGAGCTGTAAGGGTCCCAATACAATGATTTATTTTAAAAAAAATAAAAGAAAATAAAAGAATGAAATTCCTAACGACCAATAAAATAGAAAGAAAGTCAGAGCAGCTATTTTGGGAGGACATCAAAAGGGCAATCTTGAGAACTTCTCTCAGAAGGCACAAGACTAAGAGGAGCCTGATTAGGAGAAGGTTCTAAGAGAACGGAAAACTGCAGTAGTGACAAAAAGGCCAGAAAAGCTGTGTCCAGGAATTTTTTGTTTTCTCAGTCAGGAAAATGCACCCATTCTTCAAGGGTGGGGAAGTCTGTCCGAGAAGAATTTCATGGGGAAACCTTGTGCTATTGCTTTATGGGTCAGATCTTGTCCCTTCACACCTATTTTTGCTACCTAAATTCAATGGACATTGCAAGCAAATGGCATTAAGACCCAGAGCATTGCTTGAAAGAATTGGAACATGACTTTACCGGTACAGTCCTGAAGAGCGAGCACTATGAAAGCAATGACTGTCAAGAGGGGGAAGGGCCCAGTCAAGAGCAAAGGTCATGGCAACAGTGTTTTTTGTTTTTTTTTTCCCCTTTTATGCCCAAGGCATTTTGTTTGCTGACTTTCTGGAAGACCAAATAATGATGACATATGCTTATTATGAGAGTTTTAAGTTTTAAGAAAGTTAGTCAAAGTTTCAGCAGAAAAAAACCCCAGGAAAACTTTGAGAGTTCTTTTCTACCACCTCAATGCTCCTGCTCAATCGTCTCAAACAAGGGCAATTTGGGAAGAGTTTCTTTGGGAAATCATGAGGCATTCACAGTCAAATGCCTTCTTGTGACATTTTTTGTTTCCTATTCTTGAACCATCTTAAATGGCACCAGTTTCCCGCCCCCTAGTAATGCAGTAAAGACTGAATTGACAAGGTTATATCACCAGGGCCTCAGGTCTTTGGAAATCGTCTAAATGGACTATCTTGCCTACAGTGTATCTTGATCTTGATGGAACTTATGTGAAGAAATAAAGTTTATATCTTTTATTTTACCATATAATTCCAATTTTGCATACTGTCCCCTTGTGTATAGACCTAGTCTCAGTAAGGAAGACATTTGAAACAATTGGGAGTTGGTTTTCTTTCAATTGAAGCTTACAAAAAGAGAGGAAATTCTTGAGGAAGATGTTAGGCTGGGAATTAGGATCAAACTGGAGAAAGTTCAGGTTCCTTTAAACTATCAGAGCATCCGTGAAGTGTTCGACCTGAAAGGTTTGGTTAAAATTACACCATAACTTTCTGTCACTTCATGTGCTTGTGTACTCTTGTGAAAATCAAAGTAAACAACAAATAAAATGGAGGAATGTTGTCAGGTTTGTTTTTGGGGGAAAAAAGGAGATTGTGTCTTTGGACTTTTATATATTATATCACAATAAAATTTATTTGGCTGTGGAAAACAGAAATAGATTTTTTTTCATCTCAGAAGAATCATCAACATATATAAATTCTGCATTGAAATTATTAAATCTTCACTACTGTGAATGTCACTGCTGATATAATGACATGGATTTATTTTGATTTACATGAATTGTAGATTTGTAGCTAAAATAATATATGGAAATTATTGGGAAATACCTTATATATAGAAATAGTAATCAATTTAATTTTTATTTGAACTCTTTTCCAATATTTTCTTTTCTTCTTTAGCACAAGACTTTATTTTACACACCAGGAAGTTCATTACAAGAATATATCCCAAAGCAACAAGAACAAACTCTTCTAACTATAATCCTCAGGAATTTTGGAATTTAGGTTGCCAAATGGGTATGTAACAGAAAATATTGAGTTGTTTGCTATAGGAAGATAACATATATTTGTTAATACATATGTGTGTGCATATAGAAAGATAATAGATAAATCAAAGATAGATGATAGATGATAGATAGATAGATAGATAGATATCCACCACTTACTGTCAGTTTGTCATGCTACAGTGACATGTGCGTTGCTGTGACGCTGGAACCCTTGTCATTGTCATTTCAAATGGCAGCAAAGTTCCCCAAGTGACCAGGCTTCAGTAGAGTTTCCAGTCTAAGAACAAACTACGAAGAGGGAGTAGATTGTTTATTGCCATTGAAACTTTCATGAATAGTATCAAAGTATTGTCAGATATGGAAAACCTCATGAATAGTAGCAAAACATTGTCAAGGATGATCCCTTTAGGACAGACTGAAGGCACACCAAATATAACTGAAGAAGAGTTGCCTTCTCAAAGTTATGTGAACCATAATGATGTTGATGGAGCAAATCTGTGGGGAAAAAAAGCCTTTAGGACCTTCATTTGCTGATGGGCATGACTTAAAATGAGAAGAAACAGCTGCTGTCTATTGATGATTGGACTTGGAATGTACGTACGAAGTACATACTTTGGACCTGTGATGTGACACTAATTCCTGGAGGAAGACATACTTGGTAAAGCAGAAGGGCAATGGAACAGAGGAAAACACTCAACAAGATTGGCACAGTGATGGCACCATGGGCTCCAACGTAGGAACAATTGAGAAGTTGGGGCCGGACCAAGAGTCTTTCGCTCTTTTGTACGTAGGATTGCTGTGAGTCACTGATTCAATGAAAACGAACAGAAACAGACACCTAGCAGTTCCGCTTCACAGGGATGCTACACCCAGCATACAGAAACACTGCCTAGTCCCGTGCCAGCCTCACAATTGTTCTTCTATGAGGCCATGATCGCAACTTCTGTGTCAATCCAGCCTTTCCAAAGCCTTCCTCTTTTTCACTGCACAGATGCTTTATGAAGCACAGATTCTTCCTCCAGGGACCGGTCTCTCTTGACAACATGTTCAAAGTACATAAGACTAAGTCTCACTATTTTTTGCTCTAAGGAACACTCTGGCTGTACTTCTTCCAAGACAGATTTATTGGTTGTTTGGCAGTCCATAGTACTTTCCATGTTCTTGGCCAGCACCATCATTCAAATGCATCAATTCTTTCTCCGTCTTCCTTATTCAATGCCCAACTTTCACATGCAGTTGAGGCCATTGAAAACACCCTGGCTTGGGTCAGGGATCCCAAAGTCCTCGAAGGAACATCTTTGCTTTTCAGCACATTACAGAGGTCTTGTGTCAAATATTTGCCCAACACAATGTCTTGCTTGATCTCTTGACTGCTACTTCTATGAGCATCGAGTATAGACCCAAGCAAGTTGACATTGTTGACAGCTTCTATCTTTTCTCTGTTTATCATGATGCTACCTATTGGTCCAGTTGTGAAGATTTTGGTGTTCTTTACTTTTGATTTGCAGTGCATACTGAAGGCTGCGATTCTTGATCTTCGTCAGCAAGTGCTTTACGTCTTCTTTACTTCCACCAAGGGAAGTTGTGTCACCTGCATATTGCAGGTCGTTAATAAGCCTCACTCAAATCCTGATGCTGCATTCTTCCTTCTGCTCTGATATTTGCTCTGCATACAGATAGAATGGATGATGAGAGGATTCAACTGACACACCGTACTTGACTTAAAACCATGCCATTTTCTCTTGTTCTGTTTGCACAACTGCCTCTTGATCCATGTACAGGTTTCACATGAGCACAAAGTAGAGTTCTGAGGTTCCCATTCTTCTCAAGGCTGTCCAGAGTTTGTTAGGATCCACAAAGTCAAATGCATTAGCATATTCAATAAAACACACCTAAATATCTTTGTTATTTTTTATTTTCAGTGAAGATCCATTTGATATCAGCAATGATTTCCTTGTTCTACACCCTCCTCTGAATCCAGTCCAGACCAATGGCATTTCCCTTTCAATTGTACTGCTGAAAGAGTTGTTGGATGATTTTCAGAAAAAAATTTTACTTGCATGTGATATCAATGATATTGTTCTATGGTTATTCTATTAAGTCACCTTTATTTGGAACGGATACAAATATCAATCTCTCCCAGCCATAGGCCAAGTAGTTTTCCTCTGAATTTCCTAGCATAGATGAGTGAGTGCTTCATCGACTTAGAAAAACCCAAACCAAACTTGCTGCCCTTGAGTCTATGCTGACTCATAGCGACCCCTGTGTGTTTCCAACCCTATAACTGTTTAAGGGAGGAGAAAGCCCACTCTTTCTCCCATGGAGCTACTATTGGTTTTGAACTGCCTTTCATTTGGACTGCAGTCCAACACATCAGTACACCACCAAGGATCCTTTGTTGAAACATTTCAATTGGTGTTCCATTAGTTCCTGACACCTTATTTTCCCCTAATGTTTTCATTGTAGTTTGGACTTCTTTCTTGAGTACCATTGGTTCTTAAGAAAATGCTACCTCTTGAAATGGTTGAATGTTGACTAGTTCTTTTTGGTACAGTGACTCTGTGTATTCCTCCCATCTTCTTTTGATGCTTCCTACTTCATTCCATGTGTTTCCACGTAGTTGTTGTTAGGTGCCATCGACTTGGCTCTGACCCATAGAGACCCTACGCACAACAGACTGAAACACTGCATGGTCCTGTACAGTCTTCACAATTGTTCCTGTCCCTGAGTCCATCAATGCAGCTCCTGCCTCAATCCATCTCCCTGAGGGAGTTCTCCTTCACATGCCCATAGAATCTGTCAAGATCAGAAGTCCAGCTTTGAATTTTTCCGAGTTCTTTCAGTGTAAGATGTGCTGAGCATGTTCTTCCTTTTTTATTTTCTAACTCTTTGCACATCTCATTATAATATTTAACTTTTTCTTTTTGAGCTGTCTTTTGAAATTTTCTATTCAGTTCTGTAACACTTTCTAATAAAAAAGCTTCTACATGTATAATTCAGTGCCATTGATGATACTCGGTGTGCTGTACAACCATTATTGCTATCCTTTTCCAAATTATTCCACCACCATTAACATAAACTCAATGTCTCCTAAGAAAAATTCTTAGTATTTTACCCATGGTAAGCACAGGTCTACAGCAAATGTTCCATGTGATGTGGCTCCTGTGAGTTTACACCAACTTTCAGTCTCTTCTTACATTCACTCTGACCTTTTCTTTCTTTGCTTTTAAAAAATTGTATTTGTGATATTTTAATAGCCTTTTGCTTTCTTCATATATGGTTTTTGATATCATTCCACTGCACACCAGGTCGTCCGTCATTGGCGTTCAATGCATGTCACAACTGCTCTTGGGATGTCCTCTAAATCCATATGGGACATATTCAGGATTTTACTCGGGCTCCCATGGATAGATTTTCATGTTCTTCAGCTTTATCCTGAACTTACACATGAGCAATTAATGGTGTGTACCACACTCGGCTCCTGGTCTGGTTTTAGAGCTAATACTGCATTTCTCCAGCATCTCTTCTCACAGAAGCAGTCAATTTGATTTTCGTGTATTCTATCTAGAGAAGGTCAAGTGTATAGTGGCCATTTGTGTTGTTGAAAAAAGGTGTTTGTGATGGAGAAGCTGCTGGTCTTGCAAAATTTTATCATGTTGATCTATGGCTTCATTTCTATTACTCAGCTTATATTTTCAATTACTGTTCCTCTTTGTTTCCAATTTTGTATTCCAATTTCCAATCATTATAAAGGATCTTGATTGTCTGCTTGATAAGTTTTAGACTGAAACCATGGTAGAATTCTTTAACTTTTTCATCACGAGTTTTGTTGGTTGATGCAGAAATTTGAATAATAGTTGCATTGATTGGATGTCCTTGAAAGTGAATATATGTAATCATATTACAGACAGTGCTGTATTTCAAGATCTTGAAATGTCCATTTTGATAACGAATGCAATATCACTCCCCTTGTTTTATTCCCAGCATAGTAAACTACATACTTTTCTGATTCAAAATGGCCAATTCCAATTTATTTCAGATCACTAATGATGATTATGTCTAGAATATTGAGTTTATGTGTTCCTTTTTAAAAATTGTGTTGTCCCATCAGCAAATGAAGGTCCTGAAGGCTCTGTTCTCACTGGCTTTACGCTATTCACCTGAGCATGGTTTATCCTTCGTTGAGAAGGCAGCTCTTTCTCCATCATTGTGTGAGTGACTTCCAACCCGTGGGGCTCATCTTCTGGCACAATATCTGACAGTGTTCTGCTTCTTTCCATGATATTTTCATTCTCTGACAATGTTTCAGATTCTGTCCGCAAGGTTTTCGGTTGACTAATTCCAAGACAGCCTGTTTCGTTTTTGTAATCTGTTCACTCTGTGTGACCCTGCTGGCATTTAAAATGCCACTGACATTGCTTCCAGCATCACAGCAACATACAAGCCACCACAGTATGACAAACTGAAAGACAGACTACACACACACACACACACACATATACACAAGTTTCCTATGGTTTTTTTTTTTACTGGCCCTGAGACTACTGGGGCCAGGTATCAGATTCAAGAGTAAAACTTAAACCAAACCAACTGCCATCAAGCCAATTCCAAATCATAGTGACTCTACATAGGGTTTCTGAGGCGGTAAATCTGTCAAGGAGCGGATAGCCTTCTCTCTATCCTGAGAAGCGGCTAGTGAAACTGTGGTTAGTTCAAGAATTACAGCCAGTTCTAAATGCCATGGATGAACACATATAGATAAAGATTGAGGGTGTGGAGTTTAAGTTCATGATGGATTAGTATGAGATATGTGTAGTTAAATGGATAAGGAAAGTAAAAATTAAGGCAAACATTAATGGTCAAGTTCCTTTGCTTGAAGGATTTGCTGAAATACTCTCCAAATCATGTACTCTACCTTTTATACATTTTACTCGCTTCTACACATTCATGCATTCTACATCAGAGATGCACCTTGAAAATATTAAGCTGAGTGAAATAAGTCAATCACACCCAAGAACTCCAAACGCACTGCCACTGAGTTGTTTACACCTCACAACAACGCTGTGTGAATGGGTAGAACTGCCCCCATGGGTTTCTGAGGCTGCAACTCATTGTAGGAGTAGAAAGCTTCATCTTTCTCCGGAGAAGTGGCTGGTGATTACAAACTACTGCCCTTCTGCTTAACAGTCCAATACATAACTCACTTCACTAACAAGACTCCACCAGATGACAAACATTATATGATCCCAATTATATGAACTATTGAGCCCTTGTAGTGCAGTGGTTAAGCATTGGGTGTGACAGGCATGGTCAGCAGTTCAAACCACCAGCAGTGCCTTGGGAGCTTTCTACTCCCATAAACAGTTATAATCTTGGAAACATACAAGGGGTCACTATGAGTCAGCATTGACTCGATGGCTGTGAGTCTATGAAATATCAAGAAATGACAATTTTTTACTAATAGTTAACAGGGTCAGGAGTGGACAGAAAGAAAGGAAGATTTGATGCTTAGGAACACTGACATTCTGTTAAAAGATATGAAAAAGATATGGAAATATTTGGAGACTGATAGTGGTTGTGCTGGAACAATAAGATGAACCCAATTTCTGCTACAGCAATGGTTATAGAAAAGTCTAATGGTTTGTTACATACCTTTTTACGACATGCACACAAAGAGTGACTGAGACTACACACTTTATTCTTTAGACTTGTGAGACTCTTATTTCAAATTGAACAGCTTGTATAGTACTGCACTAACCAGTCAATGCTAGGTCTTGACTCTTGTGCTACTGAATTGTAGTAAGACCCATAACTTTGAGGAAAGAGGTGACAGGGGACTAGGGCTATCTACCAGCCCACACAGAGGCCTGGATTTATTTTAACAACTATTACTGCTCTGCCCATTTCTCACTTTCTCCTCAAGTGACAACGGTGCCTCTTTGGACCTGAAAGAACAAGAGGTTGCTGTTATCTTCTTTTCGCTCCATTTAATATACTTATTCACATTCTTAGTTCATCTGACATTTAGATTGCTAGGTCATAGACTGTACTGTGTGCCATTGTGATCTTTTATGCAAATCTATGAAGCAATTTTCCTTTGAGAATTAAATTCTGAAACTCACTTTCATATGTTGATAAAGACCTGGCATTAGAAAAATGTATAAAATTTGTGAGTAATTAGGCTAAGAACATTTTTATAGTACATATAGAGTATCCATGGTTATATTTCAATGAATTGCTTACTTGTATGCTTCTCTAACTGTACACTTAATTTCTGAAAATATCAAAATAATTTCTCTCACAGTGGCATTAAATTTCCAGACCCCTGGTCTGTCAATGGACCTACAAAATGGAAAATTTTTGGACAATGGTGGTTCAGGATATATTCTGAAACCACATTTCTTAAGAGAGAGTGAAACAGACTTTAATCCAAATGACTTATTTAAAGACAGTAAGCCACTTACACTTACAATAAGGGTAAGTTTACTTTTTCTAGGACTTTATTTGATTATGCAAGTTAGATCATATAAGTTAATATTTTGAGTTCCATTGATTTCTAAACTTGAAAAAGAATTTCAGGTACTATAGGTGGGTAGTGTTTTAGCATCCTTACATATCTGAAAATGTTTTTCTGTTGGCTTTTTGCATGAATAACTACTTGCTTGTGAACAGGAATATTGGTGAAGACCTCTTCCTATAAAAGAGTCATATTATTCCATTGTTGTCATCAATTACATTTTATAACAGAGAAACCTGAATTCAGTCCAATAAGTATTTTGTGAGTATCCCATTTTTGCACCTTGAATTAAAAAAAAAGTTTGAAGAGCTGTTTCCAGAATTAACTTTTTAAAAAACTTTTGCTATTGAATTGGGTACAGGTTTTCAGAGCAGACGATCAGTTTTGCTCTGAATTATTCATATACATTTTACTTCATCTCACTGATTTCAATAACAACCCTTCCTGCCACTTCCCTGTGTTTTCTGTTTCCGTCCCTTTCTTTCCTAACCGTCCGAACTTTGTCCCTGGGCAAAGGCTGCCATTTCGATCCCAAATTATTCTAAGATGTGTTCACAGCAATTGTGCCGTTGTTTCCCTTACAGACCTAGCTATTGTTTGGCTGAAAATTGAGCCACAGGGACCTGAGTTTAGTTCCAGATCTGAAGGCGGACCCAGGGCCATGGTCTCGTGGGGGCACAATGAATGAATAATGAATTTCCGTCTGATTAGAAGTCTGGTCTCTTTTATGATTTGGAGTCCAACCCCGCCCCCACATGTTCCTTCCACGTTCTCCAGAACCTTCTGCTGGGATTCCTTCCAGAGGACTTAGTAGTGGCAGCACTGGACCATCTGCTCTAAGGGTTATGCAGAATTGACTTTTCCATGGTTTTTCCCATTATGTCTCAATATCATTTTCTTGCTTGGAAATTGTCAGCATTTGTGTTTTCTCTGGTATCTATCCTCCATACCTACCTTTTGGGGTCAAATTTATCCCTTTTTCTGTGCCTACTGAGAGAGCTTAGAACTTTTCTTCAAGGTCTGCAATTTATTTTATTCTTTACCAATTTTAGTGTATATTTGAAATTTTCTTTATATTATTAGTTTCATCATCAATTGTTACTTGCCTCATATTACTTCTTCTTTTAATATGTTTGTGTCATATCCAACAACCCTTTTCTTCACAGTGTTTTTGTATTTCACATTTTGTTTTATTGCATCTTTGTGTATGTAGTTTCGTTGAGAACAAAGCAGTTGTCTAAAAGATGCGCTTTCCAGTAGTAGACTTTTCAAAAGATTTCACATGATTCTATATCCTAAGTGACACACTTGTTATTAAACATCATTGTTTCTCTACTTGTTTTGCTCGATATTTAATTATAAGCATACCTACTTAAGACTTTTATGTACCTATTGTTTACAAATCAAAAGAGTGCTTTTGTTCTCAATGTTCTTTTTTTCCTTTCCAACAGTCTTATTGGCATATAGTTTACATATCATACAATTCAATAGTTCAGTCATTTCAAGGAGAATTGTACAATCATGACCACAGCAACGTGAGAGCGTTCCACTTTATGACCAGACGTATTAACCCTGTCAGGACCACTACTGGATTTGGGCACACATAGTGATATCCTTGGTCAGATATATTATGTCTCATGTTACTATCAAGTGCAGCTCTATCTGTTCTGCTGACCGGTGAGAGCTCAGCACACATTACGTGTGTGTGTGTGTGTGTGTGTGTGTGTGTAAAGCTAGAACTCTGCTTCCACCTCTCCTCGTCTGTGTGGTTCTCACATGGGAACTGCTATGCCAGTGTCTGCCATCACAGACTTCGAGGGACTATTCATATCCATGTCAACAGGACTGGACATTTTACCCCAACAAAAACAAAAGAGGTTGGGAATGATTGTCAAGAAGTTGATGTGGAAAGAGTACAAGACTCGCTTTCAATGGGACTGAAATAGCTCCAGGGAAGCATGTGGGTGACTTTTCTCCAAGCTGTTAAGGATTTTGTGAGCCCAAAGAAGGAGTATATATTGGAGAGATAGAAATTTCCTATAGATTAGATCTAGCCAAAACATTATTAGTTGGCATACACTGTAAGAGCTGGCAAAGTATTGACCATCAAGCTTACATTACAATGGTATTATAATGTTGGCATCCTTTTTGTACTTTTTAACAGTTGCTCTAATGGGAGAGTTATTCAGCTACTGGTAAGATCTCTGTCTATTCTATACCAACCTCCTTGCTGTGCTTCTGTGATTGTATTCGCTCTTTTCAAATCTATCAGCTAAGTTACTCTTCCTGTTTCTACAGCTCCTCTTTCTTTACCTGCCTCTGAAGTATTGATGTTGCCAGGGAGGATGCAGCCTCATCTCTACCCAGGGGAGTGACTCCTGGGTTTGTCTGGATGATCTTGCAGTTAGCACCCAATGAATAACCCTGCACCCCACCAGGTCTTCTTGATGGACTTGAACCTCTGGAATGTGGGGGGTAGGTGGGGAAGATCCTTGGGAAAGCCAGGCAGGACATTTTCACACGTTTTACCTTCAGGAGCATCATCAAGTTTTGATGGTGACAACTGGAGAAAAAAAATCTCTTCCTATTTTTGGCACAGCCCTGATTGGCAGAAATTTGAAACCCACTCAACATTCCCTGGAAGAAAGATGTGGTTTTCTGCTCTCAGAAAGATTCGCAACCTCAGAAACCCAAAGGGACCCTTCAACTCTGCCCCACAGAGTCACTATGAGTCAGAATTCTTTGGATGGTAGCCTGTTTGTTCTTGTTGTTGGTTTGTGTCAGGAAAAGGGGCCTTAGTTTTATTAAAAACAAAATATCCATTCTTAGTAAAACTTTCTGCTACTGTTTTGTTTATGTCCCAATGAATGATGCTACTTAATCAACTCAATTAACACGGACCAGAATAATGGGAAAAATGAATTCCTTTGACATCTCTTTCACTTCTCACATACAATTGATTTCTAAATTCTGCTGATCCTACTCTTAAATTACTTTATTATGTATTCCTTTCTCTCTTATTTGCTGCTTCCTGTTTCAGGAATTTTTGACTCGTCATTGGGTCCAGCTCTAGGCTTCTAACTGGGTTTTTGGCACTATTTCTCAGTCCTCCTGACCCACCTGCCCAAAAGGCAATCAGTAGGTTTTATTGCTATTGCAGTGATAATCTTATGAATCTTTGCTTTATCTTATTGTTTTCGTACTCTTTGACATTCTCCTCTAGCCAACCCCTCACTGCTCTCCATTTTCCATAGGAATCTGTTATCATAGGGAGATAGAACCCTCTTCTGTCCATGGAGCCACATCCTTACAATGTACATAGTACCTTTTCTGAGTGGACTATTCTTCATCTACCTGTTGCATCCTGACTCACTTTTCAAGACTCGAGAGTTATTTCCTTTTAGAAACTTTTTTCCAGGCAGTCTTAGTTGTTCTCATTTTATACTCTGTCTTTTTCCACAGTACCTTCTGCATGGATATTTAAGGCACTTATTGTATATGAACTTATATTTATTCCTCCCCTACTTGCTTGGCAGCTCTTTAAGGGTATTAACTGTTTTGTTAAACTCGTATTCACATTGTCTGACACCAAGTACATACTGTACAAAAGCAACAGATATTGCCAACAAGCCAAGTCTGACTCATGGTGACCTCATGGGATTCAGTGGAGAACCACAGGGTTATTTCCTTTGCTTTTGTTTTCAGCTGTAATCTTACTGAAGCAGATCATTAGATTTCATTCCCATAGTGCCTCTGGGTTGGTTTGACTTGCTAACCTTCAAGTCAGGTTTGTCATTAGCAGATTACAAATCACTTGCTTAATAAGGATGTATTAGTTGATTGAATAAATTTACGTGTCTAAAAGAAAGTAGTGAAATGAACATATGAGTTCATTTACTGAGAAAGTGAAGGTGAAAAATACTGTGAATAGATGCTTACAAATACGATATGTTTATAATTTGAGCAGACTCTCATCTTGAGGTTCTAGTGGCCTGGAAAAAAACAGACAAGGTTGATGATTTTCTTAGGATACTGATGTCCTGGCCATGTGACTCATTAGCTCCTGTTTTAATCATTTTTAAGGAGGATTGCAATTATCTTTTGGTTTGCATAACTGTAAAGACATGGTTTCAGAAGCAGGAGGCATGGTTTTATATTCCACCATTTTACCACTGGTATGAATTACGCTTCAACAAGTAAAATCAACAAAAATCTTTACAACCAGACCAATAAATAGCATCGTGATTAAAGGAGAAAAAGTTGAGTTGTCAAGGATTTAATTGATTTTATTTGTACCTATAATCAATGCTCACAGAAGCAGACACCAAGAAATCAAATGATAAATTGCATTGGGCAAATTTGCTACAAAAAATATTTTTAAGGTTTTAGGAAATAAAGTTGCCACCCTTGGGGTCAAGAAGAACCGGACCCAAGCCATAGTATTTTTAACCACCATTTTGGGTGCAAAATCTGGACAATGAATAAGGAAGACCCAGGAAGAAGTGGTGTCTTTGAATTGTGCGGTTGTCAAAGAATATTGATGGTAACATGTGTTGCAAGCAGATGGACAAACGTGTCTTGGAAGACATACAACCAGAATGCTCCTTAGAAGTGAGACTGGTGAGAGGTGGTCCCGCATACTTTAGACATCTTCCCAAGAAACACCAGCCCTTAGAAAAAGAGCATCGCACTCAGTAAAGTAGAAGGGCAGCGAAACAGGAAGCCCCTCGGTGGGATGGATTGTCTCAATGGCTGCAACAATGGGCTCACAGAAGACGGCGATAGTGAAGATGGCACAGACCTGCCAGTACTTCATTCCTTTCCCCACTGGCGGACCAGGAGTAGAAACGGATTGGACAGCATAACACCCTAAATGTCATTTTTAGCCTCATCTCTCTTATGCCTCTGATCAAATCATACAAATCATTGTAAATTGGAAACAGAGTGTTGGACTAGGCAGTTATCTTTAGATTTTTAAAAACCAATTGAAAGTAAAGCCTGATGCATGAAGCCAATATAGAGAAGCAAACTACTCCTACTGAATAACAAATGTTTCCTGTTTGACATTTCTTCCTTCATAGTGGTCCCAGTGAGGACTTTATGAATCAAAATTTACACACGATTTGACCTAATGATCTCTAAATTTTCTTTCAATTGACATATTTGATTTTTTTTAACTAGACAGAATTCTTTTAGCATGGGTGCACCAAAACTGAAAATTCCCTATATTGGTAAGTTTTGTTGCCTACAGATCTGAGAATTAGCTGTTGTGTACTTGGATGTACACTTACAGATGTGCATGTCCAGTGTCCTTGGTACTTATAATGATCTTTGTTTTGTTTCGTCAATGCTCATGCCATATTGATTGTGAATTATTTGTGCTATCATTTTGGTTCTTAGATAATGACATAATGAAGGGATATAGGAAAGAAAAAGTTACATTTTAGTCATTGTAATTTTTTCCTCACCCTTTTTTTCCCCTCTTCTCTTCCTTTCACGTCTGTCCTCTTTTACAAACTTACTTACTTATTCTTCTTATTAAAGCCTTATGAAATTAAAATTGTGCCTCAGTTTTTACAACTGCAGTTTTAGGCAGAAATATGCCTTTCAAATATATATATTTGTGTGTTTGTGCTTGCTTGGTTCATCGAAGTAAAAGAAACCTTTACTAGATAGAACTACTATTAATTACTTTGTTAATCATTTTCCAGATATTCAGACTTGCCTGGAAATATGAAAGAATTGATTGGATTGATTCTGATTACTTTTCAAGACAATATGAAAACAAATTGGATCATGTAAAATTTCTTGAAAAACAATTCAAATATAAATTCTATCAGGAAATGATTTCAAGAATTATGTTACATTTTTAACATTTGAGAAGTAAAATTCATATTGTTTCTAATATTTGTTCTGAAGATACATAAGATAAACTTAAAGATAACATACTATTGAATTATGGCAAAAGTTCATCATAACAAATGCTTTAAAAAAACCTAGATGTTAATTTATCATTAATAATAATCAATGTGTATTCCACTATATTTACATAGAAAGAAAATTGGAGTAATTTATACATGATCTTGGTATGTATGTACTGAAACTTAATGAAAAAAGAGATTCATTTTTAAATTTGTAATTTTTCCAGCTTTGATATGTGTGGGACTTGACTTAGTCTATCAGCTTTTTCTGAATGGTTATTTTAGTTTTCAATTTAAGTGGTGGTGCAGTTCAATATTTTGCTAAATTCTTGTATTGAAAATTTATTTATGCAGCTCATCAGTGGTATCCAGCTTCCTTTTTATTCATCAAGCAAAACCGACACACTAGTAATAATAGAAATATTTGGTGTTCCAGCTGATCAAACGAAAGAACAGAGTCGTATAATTAAAAAGAATGGTGAGTCTTTAATGTGTTTTATTAAATTTCTTAGATTTCTTGTTGGAAAACATAAACATTTCATGTTGACATAATTTTGTACATATTTAGTATTTATAATGTTAAGGTTTTGTGTAATGCACACGATTACTGGAGTGCTAGCTTCATGTCTTTGTGATCTAGAGCTGCTCTTACAGGAATACCATGAGTTGATAGCTTTAGGAAACAGAAATTAATTTTCTTACCATGTAGAAGACTAATGTTTGAATTCAAGATACCAGCTCAAGTGGAAGTTTTTCTCTCTCTGTGTCAGTTCTAAAGCAAGGCCTTTGTCTTTCTGCACTTTTGCTCCTGAACAATCTTCATGAGGGTTGACATCTCTTTTCCTCTGTCTCTGGCATGCCTAATAAATTCATATCTCAAAGAGATCGACTTAAAACAGACCCAACATCCTCTTGTCTAACCAGATATGTAAGGTAGAATTGGGATCATGATAGTGCGGGGAGGAAGCATTTAAGAACTAGAGGAAAGTTGTATGTTTCATCGTTGATACCCTGCACC